AACCTTAGCTCCCCAATTGAACAACGTGTTAAAGCCTCTTTACGTTTGAATTTTTATTTACTTAGCCTGCGATGAAATAACTTATACTATTGATGGAAACGTAACTTGACTTTATTTCAAATACCTCTGAATTTTTCCAATTTTTACCTCATTTACAATAGGTAAAGAGGCTTTAACACGTTGTTCAATTGGGGAGCTAAGGTTACCAAACTTATGGATTATTAAAGATTTCCTAAGATAAATTGTAAAACACTTAATATGAATAAAAAAAGTACAAAAGACGAAGAAAACCCGAATCGCACAAATGGGGACACTTAAAACACAAAAGGGTACGAGAGAACCAAATTCTATTTGTATATTCGCATCATATTTATAGACGAAAATTCAGAAAAGATGGCATGCCAGATTGTTATTTCAAGTTATTTCATCGCAGGCTAAGTAAATAAAAATATCAAACGTAAAGAGGCTTTAACACGTTGTTCAATGGGGGAGCTAAGGTTGCCAAACTTATGGAGGGGAGTGTATATCTAGTTAGCATAACTTTATAAAACATTGCAGTCATTTGAGAATTCAAGTGAATTTGGATGTTTGAGTAGTCTAAGTTGCTAAAATGAAAGAAATAACCTTGCCTGTTTTGCTTTGCTTTGCCAGGAGAGTGACTCGGTGTCCATGGGCCTATTTACGACAATTGACATATTCAAATTATGTTATTCTACTAAAGCCTGCGACATGTGTGTTAATGTCAACGACATTGACAAAAACGTCCCCATTATGCTATTTTAAGAAGCAATATATTCAATATAGTCATGGTAACCAGCTGTATTGTCAACAACATATCACACATTCAATGTCGTTGACATTAACACACATGTCGCAGGCTTTAGTGAAATAACAGATTTTGAATATACAAATTATCATAAATAGGTCCATATATCAAATTGTTTAATCGTTTATTTTCCATAGCGAAGAAATAAGAAGAAATAAGGCTGGCTAAATTCAAAAATTAAGAAGACATGCTTGTATATCACTCCAAGGAATCTATGTAAAATATAGAAATCATAAAGTTAACGTTGTGTTTACTTTGTATGGTGCTCATTGCAACTTTAAGATGCACAACCCTACTAAATTGCTCTCTTAATCTATTGTAATCCTAATGTTACTTAACCTGAAATAAAAAAGTTATATTAAAAAGAAAATTCTTCAAAGCTAAAAGATGTCTGAACAGGGTAATTCTGATGGCTAAGTTAAAGGATGAATGGACAGGCATCGCTTCATTTACGTTGTCATTCCTCGACTGAACTCTGTGCTTTGTTAGTAGCAAGTGACAGTAGTTCATCGTGACATTAGTTGTCACATATAGAGAACAATAGCCTTTTGTATCTGACTGATATGCTGGAAACACAATGAATTTACACATCGGTATTGTAACAAAATGAATAAGTATTAGTGATAAGTCCTGAGGTATTGTTGCAAATTTTCATAGCAGATACGAATTCAATTTACAGGCTGAAGCTATCATGGCTACTTACACTCCCCTCCATAAGTTTGGCAATCTTAGCTCCCCCATTGAACTACGTGTTAAAGCCTCTTTACCTTTGAATTTTTATTTACTTAACCTGCGATGAAAATACTTATATTATTGATGGAAACGTAATTTGACTTTATTTCAAATACCTCCACATTTTCTCTTTTTTTCCTCAATTACAATAAGTCGAACATTGATGATAAATTTGATGAATTTTTGAAAATCGACATTCCCATGTTAACCAATGGAAAATGGTAGGTTTGCCGCAAGTCATATGACAGAATATCCATCCATCCGAGTCCTTGCTAGAAATATGAATTAGGCAGGCATTTGAATTTGCTAACTTCAATTAACAAAAAATTGATATGTTTCTTCAGGTTCAACAAAGTTATAGGGCTTTAAAGTCAAAATTGTTTTTCAAAAAACCTCTCCCATTGAAATAACACAGGAGGCGAAAAAGTATTTTCAAAAATGACTTTGAAGCGCTGTAACTTTAGTATTCATCAAATAAACTAAACACTTAGTGTACAAAAAAGTTAGACAATTCAATTTTCTATACAAAAATAATTTTTGCTGAATCTTTTACTGAAAAGATATCCTGATTTCTGATTTGCCCCGAACCCTACATTTCCCATTGGATTACATGGGAATGACGATTTTGAAAAATTCATCATCAATATTGTAAGTTATTTCATCACCGGTTAAGTAAATAAGAATTCAAACGTAAAGAGGCTTTAACATGTAGTTCAATGGGGGAGCTAAGGTTGCTTATGGAGGGGAGTGTATGTTCGTATGTGTATGTTATTTACTATTTATGTTTGGAGGATAATGTATCGTAACATTGAATATATCATTCATTTCATATAATGTGACCATGAATAAGCCAATGAGCATCTAGAATTCAGATTGTTTAGCTGTTTCAAATATCCCATGTTATTTTTCAAAAATATTATGCCTGGGTCACATTTGCAATTCAGTATTTTGTTCAAGACTTAATACAATATTGAACAGAATACTCAATCGGCCGGGCGCCGGCCGATGAATCGGAGCAGATGTGATCCAGGCATTATGCCTTGGTCACATTTGCTCCGATATTCACTACGGCGCCCGGACGATTGAGTATTTCGTTCAGAAATGTATTAAATTTTGAACAAAATACTCAATCGGCCGGGGGCCGGCCAATGAATCGGAGCAAGATGTGATCCAGGCATTAGCATCACCATGAGAATCATTGGAAAGTAATTATATCATTTGTGCATTTACAATAAGTTCATTATTAAGGTCTCGGGGTAGTTATCAGAAATTTACATCAAACAGGAGATGAAAAAAACATGTGGATTTTAAATTTTAAGTTCTGCTTTGATCTTCAGTCTGTTGTACTCCACCCATATATCATTTATATGGCTAAGATCACAATGACCCTTACATATACTATGCTGAAATAACTTTTTCAGCCCTCTGAAAATGACACTGAAAAAAGTTAAAAGTTAGCATTTCGGAAAGGTGCACTGAATAGAATAATATGTTAAATATTTCAGAGAATGTGCGAAACATATTGCTTTAAATGATAGAAGCTTTGAAAAGTTGAATTTATTTCTAGAAATAGAGAAAAATTGATAAAAATATGATTGTTTTTCCCTTACTATCATTTAAAGCAATACATTGGGCACATTTTCTGAAAACTTCAAAATATTCTGTTCGTTGACCTTTCGGAAATGTTAACTTTTACCTTTTTTCAGTCACAATTTCAGAGGGCTCGTTTTGACTATGACCATTGTGATCCTGGTCATGTAGATAATACATTAGAGTAGTAAAACTGATTGAGGGTTAAAGCAGAACTCTGTTATCTTAGTTTAAAAATTCTTAAATCCGCATGTTTTTTTCATTTCCTGTTTGATGTAAATTTCTGATAACTACCCCGAGACCTTATTCTTGTCATAAATGACATAAAAATGTGCTTGCTTTCAGCGAAATTGAGACCGAGAAATAACCAAATCTTATGAGTAAATGAGCAATGATGAATTCCAAAAGAAAACATAATATTAAATTATTGTTAAAACGAGAAAAAATTATAGTGAGAACATAAAGACACACATATAATACTCGTGTGTTTTCCCAAAAATAGGCACATTTTTGATTGTCCATGCCGGTGAATAATGAGCGTATTATAACACATGTTGTGTACGATGAAAGAAATACCATTTTTGGTGGTTCTGCTTTTGGACGTCCTTTTATCGTTTGATTTGTAAAATGAAGCCCTCTGATTGGTCAGTTCTTGAGCTGTACCAATCTGTATTGCTACTGAGATTGTCCCATTGTTCATCTCCACAGTAATACAGAAGTAAGTAAAATGTACTGACGTAAGATCACACGATAAAAATGTTATTGAATGATTTGAAGTGCAATACAGGATATATTCTGTCTCGATATTCTGTATTGGCACTCGACTTTGTCTCGTTCAAATACAGAATTTCTCGATATTCTGTATTGGCACTCGACTTCGTCTCGTTCCAATATAGAATTTCTCGAGTAAAATATATCCTGTATTGCACTTCAAATAATTCCAGATTCAATAACTTATAGTATTGTAACTCCATTGTGTGACGACACAATATAAAACAACATAGAACTTCTGACAAATCAGTGTCCATTATGGTATGAGTACCGTAATCCAACACCAAATTCGAAAATTCAGAACAATACCCGGCACAAATGGCGTTCGTGATCAACTATGAAACGCTTACCCCCCATAGTGTTATATATCAAAATGTACCCGTTCATATAGGGATTCGATTGATCTACATCAAATTATAGGGAGTCAGGTTACTTTTTGAGATATCAGCGTCCATTTATTGTAACTCGCGTTTGCTAACATCGCCTCAATTCTGAGACGACGGGCCAAACGCGTAGTAAACATGATCACGTCGGAACTATTTTGACCTACATCGCTATTTTCGTAATTCAAATGAAAGTTGAACTCCTCCTCTTTATTTTGATACCAAATAGTGGCATACTAGGTACCCTAGAAGCCAGCTATGGTGTTATTTAGAACAAAACCACAAGTTTTTAAATGGACTATATAGGGGTCATACCTTTTGGCGGATGGATATGGAACCTCATACCTTATCCCGTGGGAAGAAATATATCTATTATAATATCATATAATAAACCAATATCAACAAATATGTTCAGTCTTTTATAGAGGAATTGTATACCAGACGCAGGGAGACAGATGGTATGGGGCAGGCGCTACGCTGTGTCTGGTACACAAACGCCACATTTATTCCTGTTCGTTTCAAGCAACGCTACACCAACACCAGTTTAATAATAATATATATCGTATGCATTGATTGTCCATGAATTAAAAGTTCGAGAATGGTATCTGTATCATTTTGTACTATCGCCGTGATGCTAATTGCTATAGCAACCCGATTTGGGTTTTGTCGTCATAATAGCGCTTACTAGCTATACAGGGTGTTCCAAAAGTAACAGGACTGGTCCTAGTACCAATACAGTGTTTTAAACACACGTAATCAGACCAAGTTGGTCGTCGTCATAGTTACGAGTTAAGTATTTCTCTGTTCAGCCCAAATTGGGCGTCGTCAAATACAATAATGATATATATTTGAGTACTATAACAAAAGCTTTTCTCTCAATATTATTTTGATAAACATCTAGTCGTTTCTAGTTTATCCCGAGAAATCTCGGTACACGGTAGAATATCAAGTATATCCTTATTGTTATTGGATTCCAACCAGCCTAAATATCCTGCACAAATTTCTATGACTCGACTATTGTGCGTATATAATTTTATATCGTGCGCCATTACAGTGACGATAATTGCAATAGCAACCCGGATAGGGGCTTGTCGCTATTACTATGGATACTTCTTTTAGCAATACGAGGCCGCTCAAAATGAGTCTTGAGTTTCACTGAGTATGCAGTTTATATCAAATAAATACTTATTAAAAATTCTAGTATATCCTGACTGTGAGACGAGATTTCTCGGAGTGCTAATCACTGGCAGAGTCTTGTTTTGTCTTGCGTTTAAATGGCTTGGAACATTATTTCCAGATCATCGTCGTCTGTTAAGTAATCTTCGAGGATTCTATTTATGCCTTCTTTAGATGTATCAGACACTGGTTTGTAGCATCCTAAACAAAAAATACCCATCATAAAATACATGTAGATAAGACAGTTGCTTGTGATATCATAATGAGGATAAAATATGTCAGACGATGCGTTGTGATATCCTTAAGAGTACGCCTGACAATATCATATCATGAGGAATAGGCATATCGAACAACCGTGTAATATTTATAATTAAATGTAACAAATATATCAACGTAAGTTTCAAATTCAAGTGGCTGATAATGCCTTCAGCAAAGCCACTACAAGTGTATAATGACTGTTTATGTACTTTATAATGTTTTTGAAAAATAAATTCTATGAATAAAAAAAATAAGTCTAACAATGTATTCAATACTAAATATAAAAATAGTTAAGTATAAAAACGTTAAAAACATCAGTATACACGTCTGATATAGATATTCATAAGATATTTATTACACTTACATAATCAAAATGAGTTGTCAAACAACATTTATAGGCGTAGCCAGGGGGCGCGATGGGTGCGATGGCACCCCAACCCCCCCCCCCCCAAAAAAAAAAGAAAAAAATATATATATATAACCATGAGATAGAGGAAGAAAAGAGCTTTAAAATGCATTTTATTAGAAGCTTCTAGCCTTATTTCCGAAGGAAGTTGCATCAATTTTTGTAAAATTTAAGATAAATCTTAATTTTTGGCTTGTTTATGCCACAATCACACCCCCTTGACTGAAATCCGACATTTTTGGGCGATCGCACCCCCTCTGACCGAAAGCTGGTTTCGCCCCTGGTATTTATACTAACGCACACACTACTTCATAAAAACTGATTGAATTTATTAAACAATATAGTTTATGAATAAAATATGACCAATAGTGCTTACCATAAGGTTAGTTTGGCAATAAGTGACATGTAGCACGCAAAACAAAGCAATGAGATTAATATATTCGACCTTACTCTCATCAATACTAAGATTGACAAATATCTTTACACACCTTTCCTCATGGTGAGATCAACGCTGACACCATTTGCAGTAAGGACTCCATTTTTAATTTCATGATTTCCCGTAAAGAAGTGTTTGCTGTTAAACTTCAATGGCTTGTTGGTTGGCATGCTGGCCTTGGTAAAAGCGGAGGAACAGATATCTCCTGAAAGAGAACAGCATAGCATAAGTGATAAACAGCGAAATCTTAAGCGTGTTATTAGAATTCATGACTTGAAATGGAAATTTGTATTTACCTACAAAACCACCTGCGACGACGGACTTATCATAGGCAAGGTCAAAATCAAGATGGTTGTTGTACTTCATAACGGCGACTCTGCCAAATTCAGGGCTCTCAATCCACAAATACCTGAAAAAATCAATCAAGTATGAAAAATGAAAACAAATGGTGATGTGTTTCTGGCATATGCTTGGCTCCTTTTGGTTTTTATCCTCATGGCACTCATGCTTGCATATTTCCTTCTCACCTGTTTTCGATTTCTGCCTTTACATTCCCGAAAGTATGTTTAGACGTATGCGACTTCAACCATGAAAGCTTTGTTTCTCGACCAGTCTCGTGATCCAGAATGGAGGTGCCAGAGATGGTCGCAATGATGTTGATGCTTTGGCTTTGAATATACACCGTATCTACGAACAGCAAGTCTTTACTGGATGTAGACGCCTCAACAGATACAAATGTTGCCAACACCTTCGTACCTTAAAGAGAGACAATGTGAACAGCGAATTATTTCCTTTCCCGAAAATGCACCTTCTTATTGTGGACGAAGTTCACTAGATTTGAGAAGCAATGTATTATTTATTATTTTTCGATGTTATGGTGAATATTTTTTAGATTCGAGAAGAGTTCAGTGTAATTATTGTACATTACGTGAACATCTTACCTAAAAATTCCTCTTGAATTTCACTTGAGCTTCTTCATGAGGAAACATCGAATATACTTGTCTATCTCTATTGAGTGATCGTAAACCTGGAGTCAACTTTTATCTTTTTTTAGAAATGATTTCATAAATTCCTACTTACGACTAAGTTTATCATCAAAGAACAGATATGTTTTCCCAGGGTCGCCATATGCGTCAAAGCAGATACGGTCACCGGAAGGTAGCACGCAAGAAACATGAGGGTCGCCACGCACAGTAGTTGTTTGGAACGGATTAATAGTAGTCGCAGGAGGGTTAGTAATAAAAGGTGCTTGTGTAGTTATAATCACAGGAGGGTTGGTAATAATAGGTGCTTGTGTAGTGGTAACACCAGCCGGGTTAACTGTATTGCCAGCACCTACATTCACCAGACATAATGAGTTTAAAATATCCTTAGTAGTTATTAGAATATGTAAAAATTTATCCGATGGATACTAAATATATATGGGGACAACAGCACAAGATTATTTTGCTATGCGCCACTAAAATCATATCCGATCCATATATAGAGATTATCCTATATGAGGTTCAGGATATTATCCCGAGGTCAATATAATATATCTGCCCGAGGGCCGTAGGTCAGACATACATGGACTCACAGAGTGTATGGGCAAGCATATCTGCTCCAAGAATCTATAGGTAGTATTGTAAATTATTCAAGGAAGGCAGGGTCACTGTTGAAGATCATCTACAATCTGGTTTTATGAAGAGCTTGCAGACAGAGAAAAACACTAAAATTAAGGTGATTTGAGATGATGCAATTTATGAAGAGAGAACTATCACATTGCGGAAATTAGCAAACAGGGGCGACACGGGATATGGAACGTACAGTTCAAAGAAAAGTTGACAATGACCTGAAGATGTGTTTGATCTGCTTGAAATAGGTACCGAGGAAAGATTGAAATACCCAGCTTATCTGTTTTAATTTTCATACGTAACAATTTAACCGACCTACCTGCCCTAAATACGCGTTACCATGGCAACCTTATTTTAAAATTATTTTAAGATATAGCTAAAGTATTTTAGCATTGTATGTGTAATTGACCTTCTATATTCTGAAAAGATGAGAAAGATATATATGAAAATATCACAAAATGAGAACATTTTATTAGAATATATGGATCGTCCCTTGTATATCAAAACTTCAAATTCATGCATTGGAAACTCACAATTTTCTGCCATGCATATGTGAAAACAATAAAACCATATATTCATCCAATTGAAGCAGTCTTCTTTCACGTTAATTATGCTAGTATAATAGAAACTATACTACTATTTTAAAACCTCAAATTCAGCTCACCATCTTCCCTCGCGCATATTGCATTAATAAGGCTTGGCAACGGACCTTGGGGACCCAGTAAACTACCGAAGCTAAAAAACATTAGAGCATTCTAAAATTTAAAAAACGGAAAGAGAAGTCGATCGGGGAATTATTTTGTCTACTAAAATATTAAATGTCTAACAATTTCTTAATTGGTTTGCTCATAGTTTTACAATCAAACTAATACATGCACATGGAACCCTTGCGAAATTTTTATAAGTGTCCAGCAGAACTATATATTTTGTTTCCTAACTTGAGAAAGCAAACCCCTTGACTAGTCTAAACTTATATTTGATTGTTATAAGATCATATTTACTTATTTGTATCGATGATGTTAAAACCTCGACCACCCGTGATCTGATTAAACTCGATTTCCTTTTCAATATCAGACTCAGGTTTATAGGAGTTAACCAATGACATCACCACGATCCTTACACCCATTTTCCGTAATTCATCGGCCTGCCTCAGCGTTTCACTCTTTTTGTCAAAAGGGCGTGTCGTTCCATCAGAAATAAGAACAAGCCGCTTTGCAACACCTATAATAATATAAATCAAACATAGTAACCGGGACAATACAAGTCCAAAGTCTATATATTTACTCTAATTGTTTCACTTTTTAGAGTTAAGTCACTACATTTTGCATACATATTTCTTGGAGAAATCCTAACATAAAATTTATTTTGTTCTTAACTTAAAGATATTAATTTAAGAGTAAAAAAGGCTCCAAAACTTAATAAAATATGGAGTTTGGATGTTCATTTAAGTCTAGGGATGATATTTTATACCACGAACACTTACAGATACCTGAAATGTGCAACAAAAGTGGCCAAAAATTGTTGTTTCTAAATTCCCCATTTTTCCTGTATCGCGCTAGTCACGTGACCATTACGCGTAGCAGGCAATACAGATATTACAGTACATATTTCAACATGTTCAGTATATGGCAAACATAAGCGATTCTGATTCCCGGGTTCTGGGAAATGGCTATTATAAATCGGCGAGAGGGTGTAATTTGACTGGGGACAAAACAGTGGAAAATGTGTCCAAGTATACCAGTAAGAGAGCAGATATGGGGACTTTAGACAAGTACTATGACGGAGAATCAACTAAAAATCTGAGTTTTGGAATGAAGACCCGAGGAAACTGAGGATCCTAGCGATCCTATTACTCAGTTTGAAGTTTTTGACGCGGAAAACAGGTTATGAAAACAGGTTTTCTGCAAAAGTTATCAACTTTAGAAAATATGGATCTTGTTTTTGAGTAAGGCTTAACAAGCATTTAGATACAAGACTTGGCTATCTCTTGTCAAATACACGCAGACTTGCGGTAAATTGGCCATTGCAAATTGCAAAATCAGATCGTCAAATTAATCGCTTCGTTTTTAAACGTATGCTTCTTATCTTCATCCAAAACTTTAGTATTCATTAGAGATAAGCTATAACTTGTACAGGAAGAAATGGCAGATCCTACCTTAATTTAGAATCGCTGATTTCTCTGGACAAATTCCGAGAAGAAATTGTTCGACATCGCGATCAGCTCAGACTACATGTCGTATGCATGTCACTCTGAACTCTCGTGATAAAATACGGCATCTTGATTGGTTACTACTCGTGTTGTCATGACGCGAAAAGCAGTAGTAAACACTGAATATGTTAATGAACTGCCATGTATGGAACAATTGTCTTTCTGATTGGTTAACTTTACACGCATCCTAAATGAATATAGTAGTCGTAGTAAATGATTCATTGATAACTATGAAAGTGGGCGTGACCAGCTTTATTTTGACACCAAATTCATTCATTATACATACATTTGTTTTATACTACATTGATTCATTTTTGCTAAACCTTTGCTATTAGATCTTTAAGGAAAACATTTGATTCTGATTGGTCTATAATCAAAATTTGCCATTCATTGCGACAAATGCAACATTTGACGGAATTAATAAAAATCCACAAGTCATAAAACATATACAATATGTTGTCTCTAATCAACCTAGTATCTATCATCATAGTTATTTTTGTTTGGTATCAGATCGGCATGCATTGGAAATGTACGTCCACGAACAATGCATTCATTGTCTGTGGTAAGTAGTGAATTGACAAAACAAAGGTGGAGCAAAACCATCATTTTGCCACATTTTGGTGCTTATTTTTCCATGTCTAGTAGTTTCCGTCTAGATTTATGTAATATACTTTTTGTATACAAGATACAAAAATTCATGGCTTTAGTTTTATCCTCGTTTTCTTCATCTAATTTTCCTATAATAATATCTTTATTTGTTAAATCAACATTGAAGAAAATTCGTCCCAAATCTAGACTGATTAAAACTAAAATCACCTTTATCCAAAAAAAGGAAATCATAAAATATAAAATCAAAGATGAACAAAACATTGCAAATTTAAATGATATGCAAGAAACCTTCTTAAAGACTTGGAGATGGGTTATTGAACTATTAAGCCAATAACTCTGTATTATATTTAAGGTATGGAGTAGATATTATACAACTGTGGTAACCTATATGTTATTAAAAACTATTGTGCAATTGTGATGTAAACATTTGTAAATTATATTGTTTGGAAATCCTCTGTACATGAAGATGAGCTGTTGAAACTATTTGTAAAATGTAAAATAATTATGTTATTATATATACAAGGTATGGAGTATATATCATAAAACTGTGGTAACCTATATTTTATTGAACAAGACTATTGGGCTATTGCGATGTAAACATTTGTAAATTATATTGTTTGGAAATCCTCTGTACATGAAGATGAGCTGTTGAAACTATTTGTAAAATGTAAAATAATTATGTTATTATATATACAAGGTATGGAGTATATATCATAAAACTGTGGTAACCTATATTTTATTGAACAAGACTATTGGGCTATTGCGATGTAAACATTTGTAAATTATATTGTTTGGAAATCCTCTGTACATGGAGATGAGCTGTTGAAAATAGTATCTATTTGTAAAATGTAAAATAATTATATGAGCATGTGTGTATATCATGTATGATGCATGTGTTAGATCCAATAAAAAATAAAACAAAATGTCTAGTAGTTTGGTACCACTTTGACGTCACAGTATAGCATCCGACGTCAAATATTGGTACCAAATTGAAGCATACATTACAAGCTTTAAGATGATATCATATATGTCATCATTCATTTTGATTAAAATGGTATATGGAATAAGCTCAAAAAGTATGCCACTCCCCTACCCTATCCATGTTCAAGCCATTGAAACACACAAAAATCTCAAATAATGCGTGCATCTTCAGGGGTCTTTTTTGACCCCATTTTATTGAAAATATATTATTTCTGCATACTATTTTTCTCCGAAATGTCTCAATTACATAAAAACAGTTACACTTGTGCTGGATAAGATAGCATGTGATTATGATGAAATTGTTATACTAAAAGTATTGATTTAATTAATTACGTCAATATGTTGCATTTGTCGCACAGAATGGCAAATTTTGGTTATAGACCAATCAGAATCAAATGTTTCCCTATTTTTAACAAATACATTATAATTAAAACCAAATAAATTCTATGATAGGATTTCTCCAAGGAATATGGTGACTCAACTCTTGAACAAAGAAGAGTAAATATACAGATTTGGGACTTCTTTCCCGGCTACAATGTGATTACCAAGATTAAACAGATAAATATTATAATTTCGATGCTGTAATAATAATCAATCTGGTACCATGTGACTAAAAATAAACAGATTTATCATTTCCATGCCGTTCTATCATTGGTCAATTTGATACCATGTGACTAAAAAATATATAGAGGTATCCCATGTCTCCCTGCTTAGAACACGTGTGAGGTGTGTATTTACCGGCAGTGATTAAGATTTTACAATTATTCAAAATGTCAACTAATCAAAGAACGAAGACTATGGACTTTATGGACGAAGATTATGGACTATGGACGAAGAATTTTGCCTTTCGGTATAATGCGCGGACCCTATAATCACCTTCCGGGGCATCGTTGAATACACTCGCAGAAGTACGTACAGATATATCCAACTCCACATCATTCAATATTTGTATAATATTCCCTTTTGGTATTTAATTTATTGCTTAAGATTGTTCACCTACGGAGAAACTTTTTAAAATGGCTGATAAACAAAGTAAAATGTTGTGGAAGAAAATGGTCCTCGTCAAAATAGACGCACTAAGTAATTTATACTTAGTGTGGATTGCATTGTATCGAAATGTTTCCTTATTATCAACAGGTAGTCCACGATATTGACAAGACGTTTAGTTCCAACATTCTTTCACACGTTTGTAAATACTGTTGAAATATAAAACTTACCTGGCCTGGCGCCTTCGTTCGGGGTAAAATAAATCTCCCTAGCAACCTGAAGCGCCGTATCTGTGCGAGTTCGACACCCTGTTTGCTTTAGTCCCATTTGTGATATTCGTTGAAGCGTTACATCCAAACTGGTTGCCTCATAAAGAAACATGGTGTGCCTGAAAGGTAAAGAATTTATTAATTGTTGCACAATAATCAACAAAACATATAAAAGGCAGCTACTTGGTAATATTAGTACATTTGAAATGTTGCCGATATTCACAGTCAGTATGCAGTTATGATTTGGGTCAAGCCCAAATCATGATTAATACCATCGTCTATACACAGATCATGATTTCGGCTTGGCCCAAATCATAACTGCATACTGACTGTGCCGATATTTGCAAGCGAGTTTCAAAACCAGTTGTAGTTGATATGACGCGTGTTTTTAAGCATTTACACTGGTGATCCACTCGATTACGCTGGTTACCAAAACGGTTCGTTTTGGTAACAAAATGTCGGAACATCCGGAAGGTACGATTTTTCCCGTACCTTATTTTACACGTTGTAGGCAGAATTCCCACGACATTTTTTAACAGAAACGTATATCAGTATCATATGTTTAAGAAATTGCACATATTTGCGAACAAATAGTTCAGAAAGACAACAGAATCGTCGATTTACTTCCTCACTTAAGTTACATAAACGATTTGGGTTAAAAGTGCAGATCTTAACTGTTTTTCGAAAAACCGTTTATGTAACTTAAGTGAGGAAGTAAATCGACCATTCTGTTGTCCTCTGAACTATTTGTTCGCAAACATGTACATTTTCTTTAACATATGATACTGATACGCGTTTGTGTTAAAATCGTCGTGGGGATTCTGCCTACAACGCGTGAAATAAGGAAAAAAAGAAAAAATCGTGCCTTCGACGTTCCGTCATTTTGTTACCAAAACGGTTCGTTTTGGTAACCAGCGTAATCGAGTGGATCACCAGTGATTTACCTGTAGCCTTTGTCATATGCAATTACTGCCACACGTGTTTGCATTGGTCCTTGCCCTATGTTAAAGCCACTGACCAGATACAGTATCCACTCTCTTATCTAAAATCAAAGGTGCAAATGTATCATGTTTAATGCTACTACCTCCCAAACCCTCCTATCACACTAAACTAGTTCTCAACCGTTCTTTCCAGTCCTACAAAAATGTTGTAAAACGGGCTAAATAATCTGGCTCTGGTCAGTTTCGTGTTTAGAACGGGAGATTTTCAATTTGACGTTGGTGTCAACGGGAATCATTATACTCATGATTATTGAAAACTATGCTGGCAATTTTGATATCGATGGACAGAATAATGCTTTCTGAAGAAAATGATGTATTAGGCATACATGCTTTAGCTCTAAATATCTACTATCAATGATGGTCTCAGTAACGGACTGAGTAAACACTGTAACTGAACGATTATTTATGTGAGAAAACTAAATGTATTAGTAAGGCGATTTTATATGCCAGCTTTAATGTCTCATATGTCGGTGTGCACATGTAAGTTGTAAGATTTTAGGCTTGCATTGGTCTTCACAACGCAATGGAAATTACATGGATCAATAAAGTAATGTATGTAACGCGCATTCAAAACAAGCGCTAATTAGTCTCCTTCGGATAATCGTTCAGCTTCAGAGTTTCGTGTGAAGAACGTGAAATTTGCAATTACACGTTAATGTCAACGCGAATCATTATACTCATGTCTATTGAATGATATACTGGGAATTTTGATGCCGATGCTTTCCGAAGAAAGCGATGTATGTCATACATGTACCCGATGGGTGAGAAAGCTACATGCAATGTATATGGGCGATTTATACGTATAGGTTTTCGTTTCCATTTTATACGCCATGCTAAAACTCTCCGATATCCGATTGCACAACGTCGTTAAAGTGTACCTAGTAGGGTCGAAGTAAGGCAATAACGTTCATTCTCTAATTGGTCATCTCGTACGTATTTTAAGTTTTAAAATAGTAGAATAGTTTCTATTGTACTTGCGTAACTAACGTGAAAGAAGACTGCTTTAAGTACGTGTTCATACGATCTAATCACAAAACGGTATGGTCTCTATCAAATTTTGAAATGATTCAAAATTCAAAATCACCTTCCCGTCCGAGCACGTCCATGAAGATCGTAGATCCAGTCGTAAATATACCGTAGAAAGTTACAACTACGTTCGTTCCGTTTGTACGCAGTTAAAAGTTCAGTTCGGCAACGTTTTGAAGAACGCAGTGGCAAATAATTTAGTGTGATAGGTATATTTTTGGTAGGTCTTTCATGAGCAGTCTTTAATATGTCCTTAATCAGTTTAAACCCGTTTGCAATTAGTTCTATCTCATTCTCATTACGTCTTATTAAGTTCTGGTGGACCTTCCCATTCGATTACCCAGTCCCAGTGGAAGACGTTTTACAAGGCAAGTGTAGATATCAAAAACAAGTTTATCTAACTGCTTAAGATTCATCATATGATATGGTAATGGTATGGTATGGTAGAATATGATATGGTATGGTATCTTGTGATATGGTATGATAACAACGTATTTTTCATGAGGAGTTAAATACTAAATGAAGGCAGAATCTGATCTATAGGGGATGACAAAATTACAAGCAACATGTATACTTGACCTACCAATCTATTCCTAACCCTACTATCACACCAAACTAGTTCTCACTACGTTCTCGAAAACGGGCTCAAACTGTGCACGAACAGATTTGACGTACTAAGAACGATCGATTCAAAATTCGATGGCGACCATACCGTTCTGTAATCAGGTCATGATGACCTTCTAGACTAAGGGACGGTTTATACTACGTTACACACCGACGTGGTGCGACCTGAACGAACTGCGAATGAGATGGACATATTGAAGACTGTTTATGAACGAAGTGGCTAATTATTTTAAACATATATCCCGACCGCAGCCAGATTGAGCCCGTTTTACGACATTTTCGTAGGACTGGCAAGAACGGGTAAGAACTAGTTTGGTGTGATAGGGGGGTTGCAATATCACGGTGTATAACCCAAACGCTCCTACATGCACGACGGAGCGTTTCATTTACGCGGAAACGCTCCGAAGCGAAATAAAATGGCGGCTAATGAAGATTCCACTATGACCGTAAGTATTGTTTTTCTCGTTTCTCTTACATATCATATGTTATGGTGAAATATTATGTACCATTCGATGAACAATGCCGTGAGCAAAGATCTTATTTATTCAACTTCTGGTGGTAAACTGTTATTTGCTTGATCAAAGCTCCGTAGTGTAGCTCGAACGAATCTGAAGATGACGATTTGACCACAAATTACGAATTAAACTAGTATTTCTATGAAAACGTTAATCTTTCTGTTAAAGTAGTAGATCACAAACTCGTATATTTTCATTTCCTAAAATCCCAGTCCGAATCAATTACTTGTTCTCGAGAAATCGCTTGTTTTCCTCGAAACGCTCCGTCGATTTAGAACACAACTTTAGAAACGCTCTTACCATTTTGTTTTGATATCATTTTCAGATTATTAGAGAAGAGTTCCGAATCGAATCTATCTCTCAAAAACGTGTTGTACTTGTTAGGCAAATTGAAACATCTGAACCTGGTGGTGCTAAACGTGCAACTAGCTGATTTAAGCCTACATTAGATGATTACATGCCTACATATGTGCTACATCAAAACTAAAGAAAAAAAACGAAAATTTACACGTGAATTAATCTTTCTTTTTTTGATGCCAAGGGGTATAATAGATCTTTTTTTCTCTTCCTGAAAAGGAAAGGCAAGCTATATATTTCCTAAACTGATCTAGACTACCGGAGCGTTTCCAGTTCACTGTGTTAACCAGATCGGAGCGTTTCTTGAATATGAGAATGTCATCATTTTTAAGACTGGATTTTCGGTCATCAAATCACTATTACGATAATGTATGGTGCGTTGAAGCATTGGAATTTGACTAAAATATACGTTGGTGCTCTAATCTTGGCTCAACTAATCACATGTATCGACAAAAGAGGTTTTTACCGGTAGAATGACAAATACGTTTTTGAATTTTGATAACTATACTGCTTAGTACAGCTCTTCCTAATTGCTTCAAACGTCAACAGCCAGCCAAGTACAACATGAATATTACACCCGTCGAATGGTATACTCGAAATATGTAACTCATACCTCTTATTCCCATTATTGGGGAAATCGTCAGACGGCTCATCATTCCCGCCAGCCAGTTTTCCTACTCCGGAGCGTTTCTTTGTTTAATTTCAGTAATTAAACGCTCCGCCGTGCATGTAGGAGCGTTTGGGTTATACACCGTGAATATCAAATACAATATCTCCAAAAAGATTCACAAAATGTTACAACTTGGTGAAGTTATTAATGATTCAAAGTGCAAAAATGAGTGAAAAATGTTTAAATTCTCCGATATAATAAGAATGGTAACCATTCTTATAGAAAAATAATACTTAATTGTAAAAATCTTTAGTTTTCCTGGAATAAAGTATGCACTTTTGTGATTTTAGAACAAGACATGACAAGGAATGACATGAGCCAAAAATATTCTAAAATTGAAACAATTTTTTGTTTAGCCTGCTCGCTATATCTGATTCTCTCTTTATGTACAAATCAAAATCATTATGCAATAACGGAGTACGTTGGTTATCGCAAACAATTTCAAACGATTCTAACTTGAATTGTGAATATTTTCTGATCATGAACATGGGAGGGACAATGGACCACTCAGCATACTTTTTCAAAAACATTGACCTAATTTCCACCAAAAATGCAACCTTTTATTATATTGTTAAATATATAATTAGAATGTGCTTTGAGACATGTTTGATTTCCTAAAAGGAAAAGTTGATTGCGCCGGGGACTTTAAAGATACTGAATTTGATGACCAAAATGAACTGAAACCAATGGATAACATGAGATTTTAAAATGGAGAAATAACATGGGGAACACTTATCTTAAAGCAATTAAGTTTTTCTTTCAAGAAATATTTGATACATTAGAATATAGAATAGTAATGCATTAAACATCGTAAAAATGATTGCATTTTTGGTGAAAATGAGGTCAATATCTTTGAAAAGTGTGTTGATGGGTTGATTGTTAGTTAAATATCTCCGAGTCTGTTTGACTTTATTATTACTGTATACAATTTTCTTTGAGATAATGAATGGATCAAAAAGATATACCTGTCTTCATTGTCAGAAAATAGTCATAATCCAAGATATAACCGTCTGAAATTGTTTGCGATAACCAACATGTACGTGTTCCTTTAATATGATTTGCCAATAAAATACAATGGACTATGAAAATATCATAACTATATGTACTTACTGTTATTTTGTCTTGAGGAGCAATTGAACAACTAGTGTCCAATACGATCATTAAGTCAATGGGTTCACAGCCAGATGGGGCTGGGACCACAATCGGGTTGACCGCTTGACCCATGCTGCCCTTCAAGAGAATACCGCCTGAAATAAATGGAATATAGCTTTAATATATAGTCAAGATTTAAAGCATCATAAGCGCCCTAAAATAAAATACACTCTAAAAATACAGCCTAAAAGAAATTGCATTCTTGATTAAATTCATTGGATGTGAATAAGATCTAAAACTAAAATACAGCCATCCATAAGATTTTAGCTTTAAATAATGAAATAAAATAGTATAAAATCAGATATTCCTTATACAATGTATAACCTGTATGACAAATAAAAGTATTTACTTACAAATTACTGCTAATGCACCAATTTGCCCCACGACGTGGGCTTTCATCTTTGTGTTAAACATGTACGGACTTGCTAGTTTATCTAGTTATGTCCGTTTAACACAAGTGATGCCAATGGTCTCTCGTCTGGCCTCTCGTTCTAGAACGCCCCCCGGTGAGTCTCCACGTTCCAATGTGTCACTTGGTATTATATACACATTGCAGTGCTCTCTGCATGCCAGTTACCACATATTGTTGATCACAACATTCGAGATTTAGAAGATATCGCGTGAATTGATTGACAGCAGTTGTCACTATGTTTAAGGTGACACTTGCCATCGATCAATGCAAGTTATGATGAGTTTCAATCTTCGAATAATGCACGACTTCACCAGACACATTGCAGTGTTTTCCATTTTATTGTACACACTGAAATGAGGTTCAACAATTGTCTCTCTTATGATCTGATCAGTAATCTGCATTAATGAGTTTTGCATACTTACTTTTTATTACATGATTGTTGCTATCGGGGTGCTGCTTTCCCCTATGACTGCTTGTGCTCATGTGCTATTTGTTTTCATTTCTCTAAATTGAGTCGTACTGTATATATCAAGCCTCTGACCAACTAGCCCAAACTATATTGCATTATTAAAACTTTGCCGGGCCAGTTCTAGGGGTTTTGGTGCTAGTTTAGAAGGCGTTCATTTTACTATATCGACCTGGGCAATATGTGACTTCATAGTGGTGGTCAAGAATCCATTTAACGACCGGTCGAGAATGTATTTAACGACCGGCAAGTGTTTTTGTTGAAATGCGACGGAGGGGAGGAGACGGAGGGGGGGTAATATGTCCATAAGGTGGAATAAATTTACACAAATTCTTATATTTAAAAATGAACTCAGTAACTCGATATGAAACTGGCATGTTACCTCTCCGAAATGTGAAAAACTGAGGAAATTTGGAGTTAGAGAACATAAAGTCAAGTAACATCTCTAATCATGGGTTATAGACATATTACCCCCCCCCCCCTCGTTCCCCCCGCATCCGTCCCATTTTAATGATTTTCGATTATTTTGTATTTAAAGACTTAACGTTTTTTCCATACCGTGCACCTATCCATTGGACAATTCATTATAGTAAACTTTCCCTTGAAAAATAAAATTTTAAATATTTGTTGAATATTCTTGCACCTGCCCCCCCCCCACCCAACTTTTCCTATCACCGGGCGTGATACTGTACAAGCTGTTGCTAATATTTGAGTATTCAAAATGGATTGGGTTATATTTTACTATATATATTCAATTTGTATAGTTCGCGCATACATGAAATGTCTTCCTACACATTATTGAATTGTTTATCAAATGTAACGACAATGTTGTTTAATATAAAAAGATCATCAACAAGATCATATTTCCGAATATTGAATAATAAGTTAACCAACGTTTCAGAATTGGATTGAACCTTTCTCTATATGAAATTCCTACGTACAGTAGTCAAACAGCCGGTACAACGAAACAATACATTGATATAAAAGCTAATTTAACAGTTCGGATACTTTCAACATTGTCAAATATACAGTTAATTGAGCATTGATATAATCAACGCAACACGTACGAGTGCCATATTTTCATGTAAAATTTCTTTGTAACATTAATCAATGATTTTTTTCAATTTTTTTTAAATAGCTTATTAGATTAATGTTTATAAGTAAAGGGTCAATGGCCCTAAATTAGAATGAGAGAATCTCATTGAATGAAAGTCTTTAACGCGTCCATAAGAGGATTGAAGTACTGCAATTATGTTCGAACTCGTAGTCTAGTGCTAGTAAGTCATCTTGTTTGAAGTACTTTGCCATACGATCTGATAACAGAAAGGTGTGGTCACCATCGAATTTTGAAATGGAACTACAGTGTACGTCATTTCCGTTCGCACATAGTTTAAAACCATTTCGGCAGCATTTTGAAGAACGTAGTGACAACTACTTTGGTGTTATAGCTGTTTTTCCTAACTTGTTTATAAGCATTGATAAACAAATGTCAACAAGTAATATCAGGCTTTTATAGAGAGGTTTGTATACCAGACGCAGGGAGACAGATGGTATGGGGCAGGCGCTACGCTGTGTCTGGTGCACAAACGCTACATTTATTCCTGTTCGTTTCAAGTAACGCTACACCAACACCAGTTTAATTATACATTGATTGTCCATGCATTAAATGTTCGAGAATACTATATTTGTATCATTATGCACTATCGCAGTGAGGCTAATTGATAAAGCAACCCAATTTGGGTTTTGTCGTCACAATAATAGCGATTACAAGCTAGTGATGTTTAATCAGCCAAATGGGCTTTGTCATGGATGTAATACCTTCATTTTAGTGTTTTAAACACACGTAATCAGACCAAGTTGGTCGTCGTCATAGTTATGAGTTAAATACTTCTCTGTTCATCCCAAATTGGGCGTCGTCAAATACAATGATGGTATATTTTTGAGTTTTTGTCTCGGTATAATTTAGATTAACACATAGTCGAGAAATCTTGGCACACAATAGAATATCAAGTATATCGTTGTTATCATTAACCAACTGGTATGTATGTGTCAATGTATTGTTGAATTTAAGGTCAGAAGTTTGAGTTGTCGGCTTACATTACAAACCTAATGGGGTATGATATACCGTACGTATGCTCTAAACAACACTTTCCGTGGATTTATAGACCGAGAAGAGTATTTGTACGTGTATATGTGCGCCATTAAGTGATGTTAGTTGACAGTAGCAACCCGAATAGGGTTTTGTCGTCAAAATAGCGATATATATGGATACCTCCTCTAGCAATACGAGGCCCCTCAAAATGAGTTTCATTTGGAATGTGGTTAATTTCAAGTTTATTATACTATATTTAGTATATCCTGACTGTGAGACGAGATTTTTCGGAGTGCTAATCACTGGCAGAGTCTTGTTTTGTCTTGCGTTTAAATGGCTTGAAACATTATTTCCAGATCATCGTCGTTTGTTAAGTAATCTTCGAGGATTCTGTTTATGCCTTCTTTAGATGCAATGGATACTGGTTTGTAGCATCCTAAACAGAAGATAGCCATCTTAAGATGCATGTACGTAGTGATATCATAAGGAGAACCAAATATGTCAGTCGATTTGATGTGATATCCTAAAGGGGATAAAATCGTACCTAAAATACAGCAGTGTGGGCTTGTTGACCCAGAAAGCAAGATGGCTGCCGAAAAATTAATCGGCTCTAGAGCCTTTTAACATAAGATGTGTAAAAATTTGAAGTAGTTCGGTTGAGTGGTTTTCCTTGAATACCGATGACAAGAAAAGTGAGACGCCGACCACCAGTTCACCTCTCTGAAAACTTCAAAAATGGCCGCTAAAAAAGATGCTCGAGAAATTCTTATCATTTAAAACGTGTAAAACTGTGAAGCTAATTCCTTAAGTGGTTTTCAGGGATCCCGATGATAAGATTAATCTATAAACGATCATCAGAAAGCAAGATGGCAGCCGAAACGTTAATCCGCTTTAGAATTTCTTACCGTGTATCATATGTGAAAATTTGAAATAATTCTGTTCAGTTATTTTCCTTGAATGGCGTTGACAAGATTAATCTAAAAACTTCCAAAATGTCCACAAGAAAGCAAGATGGCCGTTGAAATGTTAAGCAGATCTAAAAGTTCTTTACCATGTAACATGTGCAAGAATGTGAAGCAATTACAGTTAACGGGTTTCTTTCAATCGCGATGACAAGAAACTTCAGACGCCGTCGCCTACCTGCTCGCCAAGTTGACGACAAGATGTGTATTAAGTAATTCCGTTTGGTGGGTTTCCTGGGATCCAAGTGGCAAGATTTATCCAAGAACTTCCAAAATGCACACCAGTAAGCAAAATGGCCACCGAAAACAATATATGGTGTAAAGTTTCTTACCATGTAAGATGTGTACAATTTTTAAGAAATTCAATGAAGTGATTTTCCTTGAATCGGTAAATTTTTCAAAATGGCCGCCAGAAAGCAATATAATGGCCGAGAGGTTAAGCAGTTTAGAAGTTCTTTACCATGTACCATGTGTAAAAGTTTGGAGATTGTCTTCCTAGAATCGCAATGACAAAAAAAGTGAGACGCCAGTGCCTACTGCTGCAACCCACCACCGCCTGCCCGCTCGCCAAACTGACGACAATATCATACCTTTTTAGGTACGATAAAAACCGCAAAACATCAATACAGACGTTTGATATGATATGACAGACAAAAGGTAAAAATTTCCAAAGAAACGATAAAACTACTGGCGGTCCACTCGAAAATGTCGGAACCTCGAAGGTACGGTTTTTCTTTTTTCCGTATTTCTGTTTACAATCCTAACTTAATTGGTTTGCATGGTAGTCCATGGTATTAAATCTCTCGGACGTTTAGTAAAGTAGCTGGTAGCACACTATAGTGCAGCGATATTTGACCTCACATTAATATACCTACATAATATGTTCCCAAATAATTCGTATTATAACCGTGTAATATACTTCCGGATTTTTGGCTGAATTATGCCTATCATAAGCAGAGGTAAAAAATTACCAAAAACTAAAATCCAAATTTTTCACAATTTGGGGTACACAATGTAACAGAAAATAATACAAAATGATTTTAAAAATATGATTTAAAAATTATAGTAAATGTTTACATTATTATAATCTTTGTTGTCTGTATACATAGAATAACGGTCTGTGTCTTATAAAATGTATAAAAGTTTGAATCAAAATATTTACGATTTTCGACCCCTTGTGGTGAAAGATATTTTTCGACCCAAAAGTCGGATTTTTTTAGCAAATGACATTTTAAAAGAATCAAAACACAAGCACCTCCTTTAATTTGCTTCAAATATTGCTGCGCTAAAGTGTGCTACGGATTTTTCATATTCGGAAGTCATTTCATGGACTATGTCATCATTTCGCGAACATGTACATTTTCTTAGACATATGATACTGACACACGATTGTGATAAAAAAAAGTCGTGGGAACTGTGCCTACAATGCTTGGAAAAAGAAAAATCTTACCATCGAGGTTCCGACATTTTGGTACCGAAATGAAATGTTTCTGTAACCAGCGTAATCGAGTGGATCACAAGTGAACACGGAGCAATCAGATCATAAATATTGTCAACCCCTACTCCCATCAATACTAAGATTGTCAAATGTCTTTACACACCTTTCCTCATGGTAAGATCGACGCTGACATCATTCGCAGTAAGGACTCCATTTTTAATTTCATGATTTCCCGTAAAGAAGTGTTTGCTGTTAAACTTCAATGGCTTGTTGGTTGGCATGCTGGCCTTGGTAAAAGCGGAGGAACAGATATCTCCTGAAAGAGAACAGCATATGTTAGCACAAGGGCCAAACAGAGAAAACCTAAGAGTTAGTGTTTACACTAGTTTTAAACATAGCAGAAACCTAACAGATATGAGCACAACTAGTCTAATGGCATACATTGAAACAATCTTGAATGTAGTATCAGGCTCAGCAAGCAAAAACAAAAGCGCTGTCAATTTTTGTCTCATATCCTTCCGTGTCATGTCTATTCTCTAAAAATACCTTAGGTGCATACCTTATTTGAGAAAAACGAAAGATTCTTATATCATTCATTTTTCTATGAATGTTGTTACCATAATCATAATTTTGTTAAGCTTTGATTCTTCAGCAATTAATGACACATCGTGGATCTTATGGTAGATAAATGGCACATTTGATATATACAGTAGTAAGGGATATATTGGTAAGTCAATTTTACATGTTACTTAAGAGGGCAAACCAAAGTGGGATGCATTTGGGTATAGGAAAACGGCCAAATATACGCTCTTTTCAATGGATTCGGCTGAAGTAAACAATTTGGGCAACATTAATTACTATTTTAAGTCACTTAAAGCAAACTATGTAGTGGTTAGGTCTACGACTAGCCCTTGAAAAGACAGAGGAACAATGTTTAATATATGTTTTTATCCAGTCATGATTAAAGGAAGAAGATGATTATTTTGATGATATATTTTGTAATAAAATCCAATATCCTCTAAAATGTCCTTTCGCCCATCTTGTTGAATCAGAATCCTGAGTTACCAAGTCAATAATCAACGATACAGAAATCCTAGTGTGATATGGTTAATTGAGGATGCTTAAGAAGATTCAGGTTTTACAATGATATATACACTTTTCATCTATAACAATTACAAATGTATATTTGTAAGGATTCAGAAATGATATCTTAAAAATCTTTAGCTTATGTTAAGTTATTCCATGAAAAGTTTGAAATTCACAAAAATATGTTCTCTAGCCATTGAAATGGAAAATTATATGTACCCACAAATCCACCTGCAACGACGGACTTATCATAGGCAAGGTCAAAATCAAGATGGTTGTTGTACTTCATAACGGCGACTCTGCCAAATTCAGGGCTCTCAATCCATAAATACCTGAAAAAATCAATCAAGTACGAAAAGTGAAAACAAATGGTGAAGTGTGTTTGGCATATGCTTGGTCTTTATCTTCATGGCAATCATGCTTGCATATTTCCTTCTCACCTGTTTTCGATTTCTGCCTTTACATTCCCGAAAGTATGTTGAGACTTATGCGACCTCAACCAGGAAAGCTTTGTTTCTCGACCAGTCTCGTGATCCAAAATGGAGGTACCGGAAATTGTTGCAATAATGTTGACGCTCTGGCTTTGAATATACACCGTATCTACGAACAGCAAGTCTTTACTGGATGTAGACGCCTCAACAGATACAAATGTTGCCAACACCTTCGTTCCTTAAAGAGAGATAAAGTTAACAGCGAATTATTTACTTTTTCGATAAACGCATCTTCTTATGGTGGACGCAGGTATTCCGATTTGAGAAGCAATGTATTAATTACTTTCTCGAAAAAAATGCCTCTTATGGTGGACGCCGGTGTTTAAATCTTAGAAGAGTTCAACTGATAATACCAATTTCTGGCACAATGTGATAAATACATAATAAGTTATAATGTTACCTGAAACAAGTTCAACTCCTGAATTTCACCCTCGAGATACTTCATAATAAATATCTAATGTACTTGTCACTTGGGTGATTGTGAACGTGAAGTTAACTTATCTTTTAGATTAGAATGTTCCAATACATTCCTACTTACGACTACGTTTATCATCAAAGAACAGATATGTTTTCCCAGGGTCTCCATATGCGTCAAAGCAGATACGGTCACCGGATGGTAGCATGCAAGAAACATGAGGGTCGCCACGCACAGTTGTTGTGGTTCGATCAGTAGTAGTCCTACGAGGGTTTGTAGGCGCTTGTGTAGGTACATATGTAGATGCTTGTGTAGGCGCTTGTGTAGTAACACCAGCTGGGTTAACTGTATTGCCTGTATCTCCTCCAGTCCCTAGACATAATGGGTTACACATGTTACAAATTGTAGCAATCTAAACATACAACAATTTATCATATGATATGAGGTTTCGGATACATAACAGAGGGATATAGTATTAATATATTTAGGAAGCGGAACATGCAGTGTGGGCCAAAAAACAATACCAAAGTTTAAAGATGAATATCATATGATATACGATGTTAAATGTATGTTAAACGTATGTTAAATGCACAGCACAGCATGTAGACATATTCAGTTTAAAAATAAATCATTTACTAACAATGTGACACCATCTGATTGAAAAACCGTTGTTTTCTTTTGGAATTGGAGGTTAGAATTGACATCAAGTTTATATATTTTTGAACATATTTTCTATCCGTCCCTCCCATTAAATAATAGAGACCTTAAGATATACGGACGACCTGTACGTGTACTTGTAATTACACGTACACGTACAGGTTTTTTAAATGTTCCTTTTGTGCGCCTAAAATAAGTCCTTAGTCACTCGTCGAAGTGTACGTCTACGAAACAAGGAATTAGTGGGTATCTGGTGATGAAAGTATGATATTTTTTTAAAATTTTTTTTAAAAACCATTGGATTGTCCGTTTATCCCAGGGAAATCATTACCCATTAATGTCCATGAGTGGATATATGATATCTTCACAAGTGAGCGCAGTGAATGAGAAAAGATATTGATATCCATGAGTGGATATAAATTATATTTTTTCAAAACCATAGGATTGTCCGTACATACATATATATCCCCCGCTGTATATCTCTCGCTCCAATATTCCGGGGAAAACGTTTTTGTCCAGTGTAGAAACAGTCAATTTTTTATATGTTATATCTTGCAAAAGCAAAACTGTTAAAATGGATGCAGCAGACGGTAGCATTTCTTTTGACCAAAATGTTGATGGTTTTTTCGAAAATAATGAGAATGAGAACACTTTAAAAAACAAATCTGCGCTATTGGTGTCCTAAAAACCGCACTCGTGAAATCTTACTTGTCATGAGATAAATCAGTTATGCGATGCTCGGATTTTAATATGGGGTATATCCCTCGGGAAATATGATATCTTACCTCGGAGTCTCGGACCATCCGGGCCCTCGGTAAGATATCTATATTCCCCTTAGCAAGATAGGATATATCCCAAATACAGAACCTCCCATAACCCTCATTTATCCCATGGTTGCAAGGATATAGATCGAATATCACCTGAAGATATATTTGATATGTGGATCAAGATATCATATTTTAGCAAAAAACAACCATCGAATATCACTTTTGAAACCATCGAATCTCACTTTTTCATATTAGAAATCTTGAAACCATCGAGTATCACTTTTTATATTAAAGAAAGTGATATTCCATGGTTTCAAAAGTGATATTTGATGGTTTCGATTTTTAAAATTTTCGTATACTTTACATCAAACAACTGATAACAGAACAAAACAGTCTGGCATGTAAAGGAGAAAGCGAAATAGTCTAGTCTGCCGGAACAGTATGGCTTTCACATATGTGATACAATAATGGCAATACGAATTGCCATTATTTCATACTTGAAATTATCTGCAACTTTACCCATAGGATTCGTTATTTATTGAACCATAGCACATACACAGCTATTCGACAGATACGTTACTTTTAAATTAATAACATAAATAAACAGCACATTGCTTTTTTAGTCATTTATCAATGGTTCAAAACTCACGTTCCAACTAACCTGTAAAGTGCCAAATTCACGTCTTGCCGCTCGTGTAAAATGAATGGAGAGGTTAAGGTACAGCTGGAAAGTAACATTTTGGTAAAAAATTGCTATACCTGCACATTTTATTTTCTGGTACAAAATAAAGTATGAAGCCATGTGTCAATTCCCTTGCTTTTTTCAGGAAAGTATCATTACATTGTCTTCTTTTAAAATATCTGGTAGGCGTTCAATGGGAACTCCAGGAAATTCTGATATTTCACCATTTCTATTTTTCCAAATTTTCTTTCAAAGTTTCCAGACAACACAGGAGCTACCATTGACCTGTTTCCAGATATTCTAAAAGAAGACAGTGTAGTGATACTTTCCTGAAAAAAGCAAGGAAATACACATATGCATTCATACTTAATTTTGTACCAGAAGATAACATGTGCAGGTATAGCAATTTTTTACCAAAATGTTACTTTCCAGCTGAACCTTAAGCTTTGCATATATAATCGAAACTGAACCTGTACGTATCACTCAACCATATACAAATTCATGTAGCCTTCTCATATAAATAGCCGTTCAAATCCAGTGTTTGTTGAGACTACACCATAGCGTGTAATGATTCTATAGAACGTCATTGATGTGGTTTTATAGCTGGTTTTCTAATACATATTTCAAACGAGCTCGTTTCGTAAGATTTTTGGCGCTAAATCATGCATGACATACATCATCGTGTTCAGCAAGAATTCAACTGTGCATCGAAATCAAAATTGACAGCATAGTGTTCAATAGACACGAGTAAAATGGTTCCCGTTGACCCAACGTCAAATTTCAAATCTCCCGTTCTAAACCCGAAACTCTGAAGCTGAAAGAGTATCTGAAGTAGACTAAGCGCGCATAAAACTATGAGCGCTCGATACATTCCTTTGTTAATTTTTGTACTTTGCGTTCACGGTTACGTTGTGAAAAACATCGTTAGCTTAACCTCTCCACTGAGACCGTGAAATAAATAGTACATAGTTATGTAATACTGATCTCACACACAATCTTTCGCGTACAGGTTCACAACAAGACGACAAAAACGCCCGGCGCTATTGAATTTACACGTCAACGGGATTATAAAACAAGTCAGACGTGTCGAATGGAGCATAAAGTTACATGATTTGTTGCGCGCGCATCATGTTTCACGTACAGGTACAGGTTACTATTTGGTGCAATCTTAAGGTCTCTAATATAAACACTTCGACGTCTGCATCCACGCATATCTGAGAACAACAAGACAGTGCACAACACTTATACAATGCGTCCCAAAAACACAACAAGCAAAACGACAAAACCAGTGATGGTTACATCAATTTCATTTAGTTTACCATGAAACCACGTGTCTCCTCTTTCCAATGGTATGTCATTTTGTTCATATCTGATCATGGATCACTAAATAATCATTCTTCTTCCGCCCATGGGTGAAAAGGTCTGATATATCCTCAATCAGCTGATCCGTATTGTGCTATCAGGTAATCAGTCAAGTCGAGTAACTAAGTCAACATTCGAAAATAAAAATCTCAAAAATCGTACATCTTTGATTTCCATTTGTGAGGTGGTTATTAAGATGATAATACACATTTTAATGTATTAATTTTGAGTACATCTCGAATCCATTCTCAGCAAAGCGTTCGCGAAATAAGTATTCGAAATGTTTGAGTTCGGGATCATAAAAGTACGTTAAGATATACCGCTCCTTAACAAATTCCTTTGGGAACAAGATATAGAATTAAAAGCATATTCTTCTTATTTACTCCCTTACACATGCCAACGAATATTACATAAGTAAATATCTCCGTTTTAAATAATTTTGTAAACGTTGTTCTCTACAGGTGCCAATTTTATAATTGAAAAACAAAATTGAACATTTTGCATTTCTAAATTAATAAATTTCTTGGAATACAACATAACTGTTTACGATTTAAGTCATTCATAATATTCCCCTCAGTGATCCCAGGCTAAATAGACAGTAACTGGGTCAATATTTTATGTTCGACCTTGTTTTCATGACTTTTAAACATGAGTCGACACTTATGTAGGAAATTTCAATTGAAAATGTCAGCGTGTGAACTGGTGTTTTTCACAATTCAAACTACCCGCTATTATTTTTATTGCACTAGACGAAATTCCACTCCCGGGAGCTCTTTGATAACACTTTGAAGGAGGATTCTTGAAAAATTGTTTGAATTTTCACAAAAGATTTCAGGCGATTTCATTGCTCTGTTTAAGCCTCAACTAAAATCATACTCGTACTCAAATCCGATACCATAATTATGTATTAAAATGAAACATTAAACTCAACAGGTTATATGATAAACCGTTTCGAGCATTGATGATTTGAGTTAAACTGTAGATATATATCAATGTAAGTCGGCATGTATTCGACAGTTAATGTACACATATGATGTATGCATCCAGGCCCGTAAGACACTTTTCTCCAAGGGGGGTGCGGTTTTTAGCTTACTAAAGAGAATATAAAATTGTCAATTTTTTTGCCGCGTAAATCAAATCGCGTAAGTCAGATGGGGGTGGGGGCTCAGTTACTCTCTATATTGGTTTGGAATTAACAAATGTAACTTCCAAACGTTCCAATTGTTTTGTGGGGATCGTGAGGAGTGGTCCACTCCCCCTAGAAAATTTTACACTTTTGAGATGCTATTTGGTGCTTTCTGGGAACTTTCAAAGTGTAAGTTTCCAAGTTGTACGCCACCACCACGGGAATAAGAGTTGAGTGCATAAAAACCGAGCATTCAGGGGAGTCTGGGGTCCTTCCCCAGGAAAATTTTGAAATTTGGTTGTTTTTGGAGCGAATTTGCAACCATCTGGTACGCCTCTGCGTTATGAGTCAATAAGAAAAATGTATAAATATATATTTTTTTCAAATTCTTTTGGGGGTGTCAAAGAGGATGAGAGGGTGAAGTGGGGTGAGGTGCCAGTAGGGGAGCAAGGGGTTGTCCCCCAGAAACATTGACCATATCAAGGTGCTATTTGATGATGTCTGGGCACTTAAGAAATGTCTGAGACAATACATGAAATTCTTTTGTTTTTTGGGGGATGTGAGGGGTGGCTAACTCTCCTAGAAAATTTTACAATTTAAAGATGATATTTCGTGCTTCTGGGCACTTTTAAAGTGTATTAGTCAATAAAAACATTGAAAAACAATCACAATTTTTTTCAAATTTTGGGGGTGTCAAGGGGGGGGGTGCCAGAGGGGGAGGTGGGGCTGGGGTGCCAGAGGGGGAGCAAGTGTTTGTCCACCATATCAAAATTTACAATATCAAGGTGCTATTCGATGAAGTTTGGGCACTTTAAAAGTGTCTGTGCGTAAAAGTGCCTATTTCCAAAGAAAATTTTACAATTTTAAGGTGCTATTTGGTGCTTTCTGGGCACTTTCAAAGGGGGTGTTAACTGTTAGGGGGGGGGGGGGTCTGCCAGAGGGGGAGGTGGAGTGGGGATGCCAGAGGGCGAGTAAGTGTAAGTCTTCCAGAATCATTAACTTTATCAAGGAGCTATTTGATGATGTCTGGGCAATTTAAAAGTGTCAACACATAAAACAAATTCAGAACTTTTCCATTGTTTTGTTTGGGGTGTGAGGGGTGGCCCACTCCCCCTAGAAAATTTTACAATTTTACGACGCTGTTTGGTGCTTTCTGGGCACTTTCAAAGTGTATGAGTCAATTAAACAATTTGAGAAAATCACAATTTTTTTTTGGGGGGGGGGGTCAAGGGGGGACGCCAGAGGGGGGGGGGGGCGCCAGAAGGGGGGGGGGCGCCAGAGGGGGGCACCAGGGTGGAGGGGGTTGTGCAAGTGCAAGATGCAAGAGGGGGAGCAAGTCCCCCAGAAACACTTACTATATCAAGGAGCTATTTGATGATGTCTGGGCACTTTAAAAGTGACTGAGACAAAACACTAAAATAAATTTAGAACTTTTCCATTGTTTTGTGGGGGTGTGAGGGTTGGCTAATGCCCCTAGAAAATTTTACAATTTTAAGATGCTATTTGGTGCTTTCTGGGTACTTTCAAAGTGTATGAGTCAATGAAAAAAATTACAAAAAAAAAATTTTTTCAAATTTATTTTGGGGGGTGACAAAGGGGGGTGCGGTCGCACCCATCGCACCCCCCCATCTGACGGCCCTGGCATCAACGTGTGACTTAAATATCAATTCGTGACTATCATATTTGGCTTTCAAAAATTAAGTTGGAAGGTACACTGGTAGGAGATTACCGAAAAGTCAATCACATCCAAATATCCTAACGACGTCAAGTATTAACAATACACTTTTTGACACGGATGAATCCATTATTATTATTCAAAACTACCCTTGGAATATAAGTATGTAGGATATTACAGTGTAAATTGACACGCATTTGTTTGCTCCATATCATGAAAATATATATGCAGTACCATCTGTCAATATTCGAAAACAAAAACTTCATTCTATAAACAAGACAAAATACATTTATGGTTGGTTCATAATGAAAAATTACAAATAACATACATCTTTTGAAGTAGGGGTATACAGGGACACAGTGGAAAATCAGAAATTTAGGCCATATCCCCAAGATTGCTTCACCAATGTGTAACAGAACATCAAAATTATCATTTACACGTATGCTGATAGTTTGCTTTAGTTTTTTTAACTGGGAATAAACTGTTTCAATACGTATATTGAAAATAATTAACCAGAGGTATACTTCAATTGTGGCACCATTCTTAGTAAATATTGATGAACATACGAATATCAAATGTTGACTTAAATACTTGACTTCACTGAAATCATTATGTACGTAAGTCAGTTAAGTCACAATCATTGTCTGTCATCTTATGAAAGATCACTCATGAAAAGGAGGAGGGAAATTAGCCCAACAGATTTTGGACAGTCATATGTTTGATTTTGGCCATTTCCTGGGGATTTAAGCAGGTGCATATGTTAGGCGAATGCATTACCTCCAGGAAAATCACTTCTAGAGATCTGATAAAAATAATTTCGACTTTGAGACAGGGTAGATGCAAACAACCCACCCACTTGTTTTTTCTGAAATGTTTTCCAGATTTTCAACATATAATATGCAATTGTTTAAATCCTCAGAAAAGGCCAAAGGCTGTTGCGCTAATTTCCCTCCCCCTTTTCACCTCTTTGAACCATTTGTGGGTTCTGGCGGAGAGCAGCAACATCATTGGTGATTCCCCTGTTAACTGTTTCAATGTCTAAAATTTGGTCCAGAGTAGATTTTGGCTTGTTGTGCAAAAGTATTGATTATTCAGTGGTCTGTGCTGATATATAAATAAAAGACACATGGCTAAAAACTATTATATAGTATACTATTACTATATTAAACTTTAAATTAACCTCACCCCCTTCTCTCGTGCATATAGCATCAACAAGGCTTGGCAGCGGACCCTGGGGACCGAGTAAACTAGTGTATCTAAAAGAAATGAATAAAATAACAATGTATCAAAACAAATATAAAATTTATTTGGAATATCTTAGAATTCAAAGAAACAAGAAGAAAGGATTCAGTTTAAAACTAAAAGACAATATTATCATTAATAAATCACATAGTTGTAAGGATACGAACACTTACATTTATTTTCATTTTATTCTAAGAATTTTAATGAAGGATTAATTTTACACTAGAATATTGAATATCCAACAAATCGATTATCCTCACAGTAACCCTGCGAACTTTTTGAAAGTGTCCAACAAAAAGCTTTTTTGTCAAATCTTTCAGAACTACATAATTTAATTTCCAGTCTTGAGAAAGTAAACCCCTCGAATGATCTAAACTTATATTTGACTGAAATAAAGTATTATTTACTCATTTGAATTGACGATGTTCTGAACTCGACCATCCGCAATCCGATTGAACTCGTTGGCCGCCTCGGGATCGTAGGCGTTAACCATTGACAGTACCACGATCTTTACACCTGACTCTCGTAATAAAACTGCCTGGTTCAGCGTTTCATTCTGTTTGGTTTTCCTGTTTGTCACTCCATCAGAAATTAGAACAAACCGCTTAAGAACACCTATGATATTATAATCAAATCAAACATATGTGATTACCTACAGAAGGTATATAGATATACAGAAAATTCGTAATCTCAAGCAATGTGCTTGTTTAAACACTTTTTAACATTAAACGGGTAAGAAATAGTATTCCCAACAAATTGGAAACCGTTCTGGAAGAAAATTGTCCCCGCTAGAATGGTTTCTTCTTTGAACTTATTTATACTTGAATAACAGCAACAATTATCATAAAACCTTAATTTATTTAAGCCTGGCCTATTAATTGTTACGCGAAATATGGCATATATTCATGGTTGTGCGGTATTTGCGATACGAGTGGATATGCAAGACTAACATGCAATATATGGCATATTTCGCAGGTGGGTATGGCATATTCTGCAGTGAGTATACGATGTGTTGATTTCAGTGAACACCCGATACTCGCTGCGGAACATGTCATAATAATCTGCGGAATGTGTCATATACCGCAGGTGAGAACGCGATGCAGATAGCCTAGATTTGATTGGTAAAAAAAATCGACTCTAAATCTAAAACTCATGATAATAGTTTAGCGCTTCATAGAATTGATAAACGAGGGTTGTCCCAGAAGTAATGCACTATTTACTCTAACTCTATCAATACTTGATATTTTTGCATGAAATTTTCAGTGAATGATCTTTGGAGATATTTTGATTATTCCACAAAGTTTCATTTTGATTGGTAAGTTTGGCTAGGGTAGGGCAGGCCTTTTGTCGTATCAAAAAATTGAAAATATGAAAGAATTAATTAACAAATAGCATTTTGTGAAGCTGTAATCGGTATGCTCAAAAATAGTTTTTAAGTTACTAAATAACTACGAGCACATCCTAGATTTAATTGATGTACATTACACAATGTCCCATTTTTCAAAATATTTCTCCCAAGATGTATGATATTCAATTGTATTAGTTGGTATATTCAGAGCACTGAACTGTTGACTCAGTAACCATTATGATAATTTATAAACTTTTGCCCGTTCGATCAATCGATGTAATTGGCAATTGCCTACTTCCGCATCGCGTTCTCATTGGTTAGTCAGTATACCATATACCGCAGGTGAATCTGTCATACACGGCAATTGAATATGCCATGTTCGTTGCGGAATATGCTGTTTATTTGTATCGTGTTTACTGCGTAACATTAACATCTAAACTTATGCCTGGGTCACATTTGCTCCAATCCATCGGCCGGCGCCCGCCCGATTGAGTGTTTTGTTCAATATTTTATTCAGTTTTGAACAAAATACTCAATCGGCCGGGCGCCGTAGTGAAAATCGGAGCGAATGTGACCAAGGCATTACCTGGCCTAGCGCCTGCCGCTGTGGTAAAATAAATCTCCCTGGCAACCTGAAGCGCCGTATAGGTGTGCGTTCGACAGCCTTTTTCTTTTAGTCCCATATTTGATATTTTCTCAAGCGCTTGATCCAAATTCTGTGCCTCATTAAAAAACATATTGTGTCTGAAAAAATAATTAATCAATCGATTGTTGTAAATTAACACACAAAACATATTTGATGGAGCTACTTCACTCTTAAAAATGAATTACTTGAGTATTTCCCAAGTATAAAAATTACTTAAAGTTAAATACTTAGTTTTACTTCATTTTACTTAGGTTTAACTTATATTGTCATTTTGAGTTTTTTAATTGCTTAATTATGTAAATGAGTATTACAATTACTACAGTAAGTATTTCAAGTTCTCTCCTTGCATTAGTAAATTCACCATAAATGAATTACTTAAAAATTACTTAAAAATTATTCAGTAGTTCAAGATTATTTAAGTAATTTTTGACTTAAAATGAGTAATACAATTTCTCAATATAAGGAAATCCAAGTAATAATTTTTAAGAGTGTTAAGGTATTACTTGTGTCAAACAATTATCTATGACATACTTTTGTATCAATAGGCAGAGCTTAAATGGTACTTTTTAGAATATTGCTAATATAAGTATTCACCTGTAGCCTTTGTCATATGCGATCACTGCCACGCGTGATTGCATTGGTCCTTGTCCTATGTTAAAGCCACTGACCAGAAACTTAATCCATTCTCTTACCTTGAAAACAAACGTGCAAATGTATAAATGCTTTATGCTACAGTACAAAGCCTGATATTGAAGAGAATACATTGCGCCATAGACTAGAATCATATGATAATAAAAGCCTCTAGAAAGTGAAAGTACTTATATTTTAACGAGCAGGCAAGAGACCTATATCAAAATACTCCCTTATATATAACAAAAGATTTGTGAGATTTAACATGGTGAACGAGGTGTCAAAAGGCACTAATTAGACAATTAATTAAAATAATATTCTTCATCCCTTAACTAGTTCAAACAATACAATCAGTGTTGATCACCACATAAATAGTTGTGGTCAACATGTCATTGTGCCAGGTTGGAGCTCTGCCAGCCAATCTAGTGTTACGATAATTGTACTTTTTCTGGTTTGATTGACTTTATTGAACTAGTACGGTCTAGAACCAATAATCACCACTCACAATCATCTCCCTATCAAAATAGACTTGTTAGGCAATGGTTCAGACAGTGGGGTCTATCACACAGAAGACAGTATGCAGTTTCTGTACTAAATCCAGATGGACAAACGTTATAAAAAGTTTAAAAGAAACAGTTGAACACAATACAAAGAACCTTGAAAATACAATTGAGGCATAACATCCAAACAGGACCTCTACAGATAATTGATAAATCATATGATATATTTTCAGCAATGGGGAAGGTACAACGCCACAAAAGTTAAAATGGCACAATACATTTCTGACATACCAGTATAGTGTACAACAACCAGTATAATATATTTCTCGGTAGTACCAACAATATCCATCATTGGAATTGGTATCACCTAATGTCGATGAAATGCAAAGATCATCGAGACATTTTTTTCAAAATTCAAACGTGATACAACATCAGTATCTATTTGGCATACAGCATTCTCTCACAAGTGAATTATCTTCTGCTCATGCTTAAGATGAACATGTTCTTAGTTGTCAGATGTGAGAGAAAGATACTTTGTATTAGCTAATGGTGATGCCTTCTGCAGAAACATCATATTGGATCATAAAAGGTGTGAGACGAATTTCTACCAGGAGCACGATTTGCATTGCCATTATTTGTGCTGGTTCATTTAATCTGCTTTTCAGTTTAGTAATAAATTGTATGGAACATTGAAACTTGTAAAAACGACCTGGTATACACCCCATTGTTCAAAATGGCTGATGACAGCCTGTGGTGATGATACTGAAAATTGAAAATATGTTTCCATATAACATTGTATGTATCAATGTCAATTTTATAGTGTTATTTAGTAAACTGCTCATTGTGTTTGCAAAGGTTTGAATATATTAAAGTATGCTTTTTGGTATGATTTTCTTTACTTTTATGAATATGTGAATAATATAACTGAAGGAATATGACAGAATGTATATTTACTGAAATAAAATTTCTAATTTTTTTTTTTAATTTTAAAAAAAAATTCTCCGAAAAACACATTTTTAACCCAAAACACATTTTGACATCTATTTTTCCTTGTTAAATCTCAGTATCAATTGAGAAATCATTGTTTACCCAAAAACACATTTTGACACCTATTTCGTTTTGTTAAATCACAGTATCAATTTAGGAACCCCTTTCCTTTCAATTAGTGAACATGACTTGCCTGCTCGTCAAAATATAAGATGTCATTATATTTTCAACCCCCTGATTCTAGTCTACATGAGCTTCAAGCGAAAACGTTTTCGAATTAAAAGCTTTGAGATACGTATGTACGCTATGACATGCTGTATGGTTTGTTAATGTGTGTACTGTAAATAGCACAACTCATAATAAGACGTGATTAATAAGTACTTTACCTTTCATATGACAACAAAAACAGCTCAAACAGACAGACTCAAAGAGACCATATCAGAAAAGAAATTATCAAACGATATTTTCGATCTGTAAATGTTGATAAGTCAAGTTTTTAGCAATGTCAAGAGAAAGGTTCCGCAAAACGTCTTTTAGTACAATTTATACGTGAAGCGATACGGAAAACACGAAAAAATGAGACTTGGCGGAGCGTGCTATTTTGCATAGAAACACTAGGAAATCCACACAATTTATTTTTTACTCATATGTTTCGCTATATCAAAGAAAATTACCTACTCCATGCAATGGATATATCATTTGCGAGTACGAAAGAGATTTAACACGTTCGCTCCTCTAAAGCTTAGTTGTAAAAGATATATTATAAATCTTAAATTCTTAACGTATTTCAGATTAGAAACTGCTCAGTCACAGCGGACAATAAATTTAAATATTATTTTTTATAAAAAAAATATTAGAAATACCCAAAATACATCAAAATCTCATTAATGCCTTCAGAGTTATGCTGAAAACATATTATGTAAATATTATCGTGTATATTGTAGCATTAAAATGAAATAAAAGAAATTGTACATTTTGGAGTATGATACTCCGGCGCCGTTTTAAAAGATAATGAGGTCAAAAGGGATATGATGATGTTACGTCAAGCGTGCATGCTTTCAAAACACACTTGCTGCATTCTTTAATATTCTCAGGAAAAAATAAGTAAACGCAAATGTACACACTAATTTCAAATATCTTGAATGTCATTTCTACCGAAAACAGAAATGTTTACGCATTTTGTAGGATAATGCAGTCACTGCACTTCACTCATTATAACGACCACTATTTCAGCCTATCTGTGTTCAAACTCTTAAATAGTCCGTTATTTGACTCTGAATTGGTTATTGCAAACCGAGACATAATCTTTTCTGGCCCAAGCATCCTCCGATCACAGGGCTTCAAAATCTATATATATTTCTCTCTTTTTACCACCTGCGATAATCAACCCGCAATTTGATTCGCTGTCGCAATCATGTATACGCCATCGGTGCATAATTAGATCACGTGATTCAGTTATATATAGGGCACTTAAAATACTCCTATACGCGATAAGAGTTCAGGTGGTAATTACATAAATATCTCCTATGATCACACTACTATACCTAACACCTAGAAATGCATAAGATACTTTGTTTGTCTAATTGAATTGTTTAATATATTTTTGAAAGTGCCTTACTAGCATCTAATTTTCAACCGATAAACCATTCATAAGGGACAGACAAATAAAAACAAATACATAATCATTACTAATAAGCCAAATGGGTTGCTCATGAACACCAAATGCAAGGTATAGTAGTGTGATGATGCATCGCTTTGGAAGGGACTAACTTGCATTGGCCCGCCGAACGAGTCGAATACAATGAACGTTTCTCAGCTTCTGATCTTTCATTAGCCCTCAAGCATAGTTTTATAAGATCCAATCTATTCAATAATCAGAAAGATAATCGGAAATTCAAAGTAATATTATTTATATTTTTTCGATCTTCGATGGCGTCTGAGCAATTTCTGGGAAATCAGTGACGTCACTGGAATTGGACAGCATTTTCAACTACAGATATCTTCGGGTTTGGGGATTATAGTTCAAAAGGCCTTTTTATATATCTTAATTACATACATATCTATTATTTGTGTAAATGCAACTCTACATAAACGTTTAATAGAGTCGCAATGCGGCATTGAAAATAGCACCCCTGTGTAATCCAATGGGAAAGAACCCGGATGTAGACAAGTTGTACCATACATGAGAGCTCTTCAAACGGGAGGTAACTAGTCTGACCTAAACTGAACGTTATCGCATATTGGAGTATTGGTTATAGCAGGGGGAAAGAAGAAGGTACGGATTCTGGACACCTGCTTAGGAGGATGGGCCTTGGGGATATTCTTCATTTTTAAATTGATTTCATGGAATTAATAAATGGCCGCTTGGGGATGAAAGGGTTAATATGTATTTTTGCATTCACCAATAATACGTATGGAGTTGTGATTCCGAAAGCTGACAAAAGCTCAAAAGTTATTTAAAAAACATACATTTGTGAAAAGTGGGCATGCTGTTTTTTTACTATTTTTTCTCATTTCAGTATAACATTAGCCTTGTCCAAGTTTGTATTTTTTACTAATCTGGTCTTGAATTATACAATAAAAGAAATCAAGATAAGTAAAAGAGACCAATTTGGACAAGGCTATATCAGCTCAAGTTAAGGTTTGCATTCAAATTGATCGAGTAAGGAATATGTCTCGATACGATTATTTGATCCCCTTTTCTTCGAAACTGTATAGTGCCTGTTTAAGCACAAATGATCATCATTATGCGATAAAATTAAAATGAATTGTCAATAAAATTGCAATGAACTGTGAAACTAGAGAGATTTCGCACATAAGTGAAAGTACAACTTATACGTATACGTATACTTTAAAGGGTCATGTCGAACTATTATATTTACTAAAATCAATTTCAAATTGTACTTAATGGAACATAACTATTCCCGTTATAGAAAAGCTCCATCAACTAGAGAATGTGAATGCACTGTCATCTGCACGTGTAGATTATGTACATTATAATTAAATGCTTGCTTCCGTGTCCTTGTAGTTGTAGTGTATTATAAACACGATCCTTTAAAGTGAGTCATGATTCTTTAAAGTGAGTCATTACATAAACAAGTTGAATATTTCAATGTTTTCATGATCAGTATAATATAAGTTCACTGAACTTACAAAACGGTATATTTAATTGGCTGGGTGGGAACAGTATCCAATCAAATACTTTAACCATCAATTTGAAACACCAATCAAACCAATAGGTTCTAGCAATTCCTGGAAACGACCCATTTAGTAGCTCAACAAATGACATACAGGGTGTTTCATAACGAGCATCTCCAAAAAGTCAATTTGAGAAGAGATGGGTCTATAAGACATGTACTATATATGAGCCTAATTTATTCTAGACAAACACATTTGGATCAACTACATGTAAACATGCTACAATTCAAGAAAGTACAAATGGCATCCCTTTGACCTGTATTTATTACAGTCCGAGAAGATCTTTCCTGACGAAAAGCCCACATTATGAAACACCTTGTACGTTTACCTATACGTAATACTCATACGTTATAAGTTGTACTTTCACTAGGTGCGAAATCTCTCTACTATCTTAGCTGTTTATACTTACTTGTTCTTTGTCTTGGGTAGTTATTGAACAACTAGTGTCCAATGCGATCATTAAGTCAACGGGTTCACAGCCAGGCGGGGCTAGGGCCACAATGGGGCTGTCTGTCTGACCCTCGCAGCTATTCAATAAAACACCGCCTGAAATAAAACAAGGTTTAAAATACTAGATAAGTGAAAAACAGATTCACGCCCCTAAAGTAAAATACAGTTATAAACATACAGCCCTCGAAGAAAATACACTCTAGATAAAATAAATGAGAAATAAAGCAGTACCGTGGCTACTTGGCACACATGGTGTTGCGTAACTAGTTTTCTGGACAAAAAGTCCAAGATCGCCACCTTAAAATTTCCCCAGAATGTCCAAAGACTTAAGCATTTGTGCACTTCTATATCAAGAAATATCCCTGAAAGTTTCAAATTGATCCATGAAATCATTTGGCTCAAAACATGTAAAGAAGACTTTAAAGACAAGATTTTAGGACTGAAAATCCAAACTGACTACCTTAGAATTTACCCAAAATGCCCCAAAGCTAATGTTGTTAAGTTTTAAACCAAGAAACATACATAATGCCGTGGTCACATTTGCTCCGATTTTCCCTACGGCACCCGGCCGGTTGAGTATTATATTCAAAACTGAATACAATTCTGAACAAAATACTCAATCGACCGGGTGCCGGCCAATGAATCGGGAGAGATGTGACCCAGGCATAAAACTCAAGATGAATCCATTTAATGGTTTGGCTCGAAACCTGTAGCCAATTCAAAAATGTCTGTTTTCTGTTTTGATGTTGAACAAAAATAACTCAAAACAGGAATCCTATCGATACTTTTTAAAACGTGCTGCAAGTTGTGGACAGATAGATAAAACGTGAAATTCCCTCGACAAAAGTGGCGGCCATTTTTAAAATAGGCGAGCTTTTGAATGAATGAATGTTATGCCATGTTGTTTTGACCATGCTTTCTTGGATTCAAAATTTTGTAAACAGTTTTTTGAGAGGTCTTATTTTAATAAACCAAACATATGGCCATTCGGACAGCATTACATGTATGATGTACCTTATTAATAGAATTAAATTTGAGTGTTTTATTCAACGTTGCGAAGTTTGAGTATCTACTAATTATCACACCCCAGTGACTTCACACTTCAGTAACTATACCTGATTAATTTGATAACACAAAGGTATTATGTTTGTTTTTGGCTCTTGTGTCACAGGCAAATATTCAGACATTCTTCAATTTCTTTTTTAGAAGCAGTGAGAGCAGTGACTACCTGCTTCATCTGCCATCTTTCTTTGATTTGACAAATGATTTACCTTTGTCTTTACCATGATTATTTACAGTGGGAACTTGTCTCTGTATTCACATAACCTTACATTTGATAGAGGATGATATACATTCTTTGTCACATCCATGGACTGAGTTACCCTTTTCTCGTGTCACAGACCACAATGATTTTATTCAGTTGGTTCCTAATGGTAACATGATAATTACATTTGAAAACAAACTTTTCAATCCAATTAAAGGCAGAATCTGATCTATAGGGGTGACAAAATTACAAGCGAAGCAACATGTATAATTGACCTACCAATCTATTCCTTACAATCTCAAATCCAATATCTCCCAAAAGATTCACAATATGTTATAAATTGGTGAAGTTTTTTATGATTCAAAGTGCAAAAATGAGTGAAAAATGTTTCAATTCTCCAAGTTTTTCTCTACAGTTTTTTGAGAGGTCTTATTTTAATAAACCAAACATATGGCCATTCGGACAGCATTACATGTATGATGTACCTTATTAATAGAATTAAATTTGAGTGTTTTATTCAACGTTGCGAAGTTTGAGTATCTACTAATTATCACACCCCAGTGACTTCACACTTCAGTAACTATACCTGATTAATTTGATAACACAAAGGTATTATGTTTGTTTTTGGCTCTTGTGTCACAGGCAATTTTCAAAAGTTTTAAACCAAGAAACATACATAATGCCGTGGTCACATTTGCTCCGATTTTCCCTACGGCACCCGGCCGGTTGAGTATTATATTCAAAACTGAATACAATTCTGAACAAAATACTCAATCGACCGGGTGCCGGCCAATGAATCGGGAGAGATGTGACCCAGGCATAAAACTCAAGATGAATCCATTTAATGGTTTGGCTCGAAACCTGTAGCCAATTCAAAAATGTCTGTTTTCTGTTTTGATGTTGAACAAAAATAACTCAAAACAGGAATCCTATCGATACTTTTTAAAACGTGCTGCAAGTTGTGGACAGATAGATAAAACGTGAAATTCCCTCGACAAAAGTGGCGGCCATTTTTAAAATAGGCGAGCTTTTGAATGAATGAATGTTATGCCATGTTGTTTTGACCATGCTTTCTTGGATTCAAAATTTTGTAAACAGTTTTTTGAGAGGTCTTATTTTAATAAACCAAACATATGGCCATTCGGACAGCATTACATGTATGATGTACCTTATTAATAGAATTAAATTTGAGTGTTTTATTCAACGTTGCGAAGTTTGAGTATCTACTAATTATCACACCCCAGTGACTTCACACTTCAGTAACTATACCTGATTAATTTGATAACACAAAGGTATTATGTTTGTTTTTGGCTCTTGTGTCACAGGCAAATATTCAGACATTCTTCAATTTCTTTTTTAGAAGCAGTGAGAGCAGTGACTACCTGCTTCATCTGCCATCTTTCTTTGATTTGACAAATGATTTACCTTTGTCTTTACCATGATTATTTACAGTGGGAACTTGTCTCTGTATTCACATAACCTTACATTTGATAGAGGATGATATACATTCTTTGTCACATCCATGGACTGAGTTACCCTTTTCTCGTGTCACAGACCACAATGATTTTATTCAGTTGGTTCCTAATGGTAACATGATAATTACATTTGAAAACAAACTTTTCAATCCAATTAAAGGCAGAATCTGATCTATAGGGGTGACAAAATTACAAGCGAAGCAACATGTATAATTGACCTACCAATCTATTCCTTACAATCTCAAATCCAATATCTCCCAAAAGATTCACAATATGTTATAAATTGGTGAAGTTTTTAATGATTCAAAGTGCAAAAATGAGTGAAAAATGTTTCAATTCTCCAAAATAATAAGAATGGTAACCATTCTTATAGAAAAATAATACATCATTGTAAAAATCTTTAGTTTTCCTGGAATAAAGTACACACTTTTGTGATTTTTAGAAAATAGACATGACAAGGAATGACATGAGCCAAAAATATTCTAAAATTGAAACAATTTTATGTTTAGCCTGCTCGCTAGATCTGATTCTCTCTTTAAGTTAGAGGCGATGGTGACGATACACCAGGTTATGATATTTCTTATGTCATAATGTGATTATCTTACCCTGACAGGACTGAACTCAATGAATGCCAAGAATTTATTAGAATGCCTCTTGTATTATATATAGCAATATACGCAGTTTGTCAGCAAACCAACGGAAATTAACAAACATGATTTATGCTATTGACATTAGACCATATCAGTATAATCACTGGTGATCCACTCGATTACGCTGGTTACCGAAACGAACCGTTTCGGTAACAAAATGTCGGAACATCGAAGATACGATTTTTCCTTCGGGCTGTGTGGAATACACCCTCGGAAATATATACAGGTATTGCACTCAACATCATTCAATATTTGTATATTATAGTACCTGATATATGACTCTAATGCTCAAAATTTAAATTAAAGCAATATCGAGTAGAAAGATGTGGTTTTCACAAATTGCATTGGGTGATACGATTTTTTGATGACGAAGAGATATATAGAAAAAATAAGTTTTAAAACGATCGAGCATCCCTATAAATTACAGAGGAGATGCTACTTTAAAAAGGAAAATAAAATAGTTTTTACCATTTTGGGCAAAATCGACCTCAGTTCACTAAAATATGAAAACTAAAAGAATTATTAAGTCAATTTTCATATTTTTAAAAAAAAATGGCCGCGGCTAAAGATTGAAAAAATATTCACAAGTTTACTTACAAATTACTGCTAGGGCACCAATTAGCCACACGATGTGGGATTTCATCTTTGTGTTAAACAGATACGGACTTGCTAGTTTATCTAGTTATGTCCGTTTAACACAAGTGATGATAGTGGTCTCTCGTTTGTCTCTCGTTCTAGAACGCCCCGGTGAGTCTCCACGTCCCAATGCGCCACTGGGTATTATATATCAGTGCTCTTTGCATGGCTGCTCCCACATATTGTTGACCACAAAACATTAGAGATTTCATAGATATCGCGTGAATTGATTGACAGCAGTCACTGATTTTTAGGTGACACTTGACATTGATCAGTGAAAATGATGATAAGATTTAATCCTCGAATAGCCCACGACTACAATATACACATATTGCAGTGTTTTTCATTTTATAGAAGATTATACTGTAATGAGATTGAGCATTGGTCACCTTTGATCAGTTACCTGACTCAAAGAATTTTAAGGGCCCCTCACGTGAGCGGATCCACGCAAAGCTTCGTTCAGATTTGGTAGCATACACACAATTGCGCTTTACGTTGATATAATCGATGACGTCAAGAGACGTCAGAATTGACTTTACCTCATGTGCCAGGCTGCGTTTGGTGGATTCGCTTGTATTTGAGGGGGCTCTCACTAACTATGTTTTACTGTTTTCTCTAAATTGAGTCGTATTGTAGATATTTAAGCCTCACATATGGACGAAAAACCCCGGCATCAACTTGCGTGTACTGGCGAATTCGTTCCCATTAGTATATGTACGCTGTTCATCGTTGGGGTGTTCGTATGCGGAAGTATATCCTTTCGGAAAGCTTCGGACGGTTTCGGAAGTATTCGCAAAGGAGCGCTTCGGTTCGCATTTTAACATTTCCAATCGCCAGAATGACAATTTACCCAATTCCCAAGGCTATAGTTAAGTGGATTCGTTCATATGTGAGGAGGCCTAATTCTTGAACAATGTAGAACCCCAAAGTGCTCTCGAGCTCTTTGATGAAAAAGAATGATTCTATTTGCCCTTAAGCCACCCTCATATGAACGAATCGGGGAAGGAATCCACCAAAAGCAGTCTTGTGAATAGGACTTGAGTAAAATTCGTTCCCATTAGTAAATATTCATAATTATTCAATACAAAAACTTTTTGTCAACCATTCTATGTTTTCTATTTAAATGTCCAAAATAACAAAATTAGTGTTCTGAAAACATGATAGTGTATGATAAGGATGGTTTACCTCGATGTTTATGTACAAATTTTGTGTTCAAAGTTACCTCCAAAAATTTGCGAAAATAATGCCAACTTTATTTACAACATCATATTTTTTATTTCATTCTTCATTTAAAAAAGCGGAATAGACTTTAGTTGACCCTTTTCCATATAAATGGAAAAATAGATGGCATCATGGGTATTGGTAGGGCGAAATAACATGGCAACTTATAGCAAGAGTCACTTAATTTCTTGATTTAACAAG